CACTAAATCATGATGCAAACCGATGAAGTAAAACGTCTATAAACAGGACGTTGATTAAATAGCCGACGACTGGACGAACTGACCAAGCACACCGACTAGAAACACGCACTGCGTCTTTTTAATGTTTTGCTTTCGATATCGATACCTCGACAGTAAGGCGAGTCAGGCCAACGCGTCCTCAAGGGTGCCAAGTTTCTACAACGCTTACTACTTTAAACATCAACAACGAATCCGCAACGAAGCTGCTGGCTGCGTTCAAACAGAACATCGAAAAGCTGCAGCCCTTTGACACAAAAGTGCCTGCAGAATTTCGAGAAGTGAAATGGATGATGCCAGTCTAAACGATCTTCCGAGGACATTTGGGCAGGGGACAGTGAAGCAGTGAGTTGAAGTGTTAATTCCAAAGTTATGTGCCAAATTCGAGTCCTCCCAGGGGCGGCGTAAACTTTTTTGTATAAACTGCTAACTTCCTTCAGCAACGAATTCATCTCATTCTGCCTCGATGGAACAAGAGGAAAAACGCCTAGCAAATCGATGACTGGCGATCAATAGATGTGCTTGTTATGATCATCACCTTGAACGTTTGCATAAACATAACGTCTGTTGTTTGTGACGCACGCAGCTTTACAGTATGTTGGCTATAAGGCACAGGTGGCTGCATCGTGAAATGGACCATTCCCCTCCGAATCTGCCAGATCTGCCTGCTGCTCAAGGTGACATGCTGGCCTACAGACGGACCGTTGTCGTGTCTCGGCTCCCTTATGAGAAACAGGCTGGCTAGAGTAAATAATTTATGTTCAGCCAATTAATCCAATAAGGCAAAATCTCTCTTTTTCGCAAAATCCTTATCTGCTGTGAAAGTCCATGTCCGCATCAGCGAGAAAGTCGTTCCAGCAGTGCAACAGTCGCATTTGCGTCTTTGTTTAAGCAACTGTTTCCATGCCGTACAATATCGCTGATCTGACGGAGTCAGGGTACAGAAAGATTTATGTGGAAAAAATTAAACTAAATAATAATTTAAAAAATTTGTTTCAGAAATACCCCTTCCTCAGCCCAAACACTGAACAGGTTACAAATCCCCGGAGGTTAAGGTGATCTTCTTTTCAGTTGTAAGTAAAGCATGCAGCCACTTGAAGATAGTGGAACTTAGATACGTGGTTTCGTCCAAATCCTTCACATACCTCTTTCACTTGCAGATCAGCTAGGTTGGTCGAGTTCTAGTAATTATGGACTTTGGAGCGCTTAAACAGAGGCGGCTTTCTCAGGTATGATGCATACCGAAGGTATCAAGTAAAGAAGTTCGTTTCCTCTACTATTCAGCAGAATAATATCAGCTGCGTACTCCAGGTGGGTAAGATATTGAGTGTAATGCTTTGAAATGTACCTATTTTAGAATAGAACCTTTGTTTTTGCTAGGGTCGATACTAAATATAAATTGAGTCAATAATACAGTAATATAAAACTACTGTGATAGCTTTTCTCTGACTCTGAAAGAGGATATGATTGCCGCTGATGTGTCTTCCAAAATGGAAACGATGTGCACAAGCATCCTCCCATAGAATTTGAGGATGTGCTGATTCACAAATCCAGAAAAAAAGCAAACTATGGCAATTAATATTGCCGACATTGATTATACCTTGTCTGGACGTCTGCCTAGTTTTGTCAGAGGCTTCTGCTGTAAACTGCCATGTTTC